GAGAGAGAGAGAGAGAGAGAGCTGTTGATGTTTGGGCAAGACAAGTACAAGATTTATTGCGTAGCGAAGGCAGAGGCTCAATCTTCAAAGGCAAGAACAAGCGATCTCAAGTGCCATGGCTACAAGGACATATCTGCATGCAACCTCCAAATTGATCGAGGAGACGTATGTTAGAATTGAAAAGAAAATGGAGCTAGTAGAACAATGGTTAATAAGTGATGAGCCGCAACTCGAGTTAATCTCCATTTTAGGTATGGGTGGCTTAGGGAAGACTACTCTTGCCAAAAGAATTTACAATAGTTACAATGTAAAGGCACAGTTTAATTGTCAAGCTTGGGTTACTGTCTCACAATCATTTAAAACAACAGAGATTTTGAGGGCCATTCTAAAAGAATTATCTGTAAAAATTATAGAAGGGACAGATGAGGAAAGTTTACAAGGAAAGCTCTATGATTATTTACAAAATAAATGGTATCTTGTAGTAGTTGATGATGTGTGGAGTGAAGAAGTTTGGCGAGAGGTGCACAATGTATTTCCTAATTCAAGGAACGGTAGCAGATTTGTTATTACAACTCGAATTGCAGAAGTCGCCTCACCCATGCAAGTAAGGAGCATAGTTTGCCACCTTGAACCACTATCAACAGAGGAAGCATGGTCCCACTTTTGCAAGAAGGCATTTTGGATGGAAGAAGGAAATGTATGTCCCTTGGGATTGGAGGAAGGGAGACTCATCACTAAGGAATGTGATGGTCTCCCCCTAGGCCCTTTGGCTATAGGAAGCATGACGTCAAAGAAATCCAAGACATCACTTGAGTGGGCAAAGGTTCGTCAGAGTCTGGCATGGGAATTAAACAACCATCCTTATCTTGAAGGTGTGAGGGGCGTTTTGTCCCTCAGCTATAACGATATGCAACCCCGACTAAAATATTGCTTCCTGTATTGTTGCTTGTTTCTTGAGGATTATAAGATTCCTCGTTCACAATTAATTAGCCTATGGGTTGCTGAGGGGTTCATAGAAGGGAGGGAAGGAATGAAAATGGAGGAAATGGCTAGGGATTGTTTCAAAGAGCTGCTAGATCGGAGTTTGATTCAAGAGGCAGAAATTGGTACAAATAGCCTTGTCAAAAGCTGCAGGGTACCCGACTTGGTAGGTAAGCGTGGTCTCACTTTGTCAGAAAAGATGTTATTTGGAGCATTTTATGATGGCAAGAATAACAAACTTGACAATAGATCTCGTCATTTTTCTATCCAAGATGCTAAGTCAGGCAACTCTATTCTTGAGAAAATGTGCCATTTACGAACTGTTCTAATGTTCAATACATTGTTGAGGCTCTTGGACCTAAAACGCATCGACCTTGAGTGTCTGCCTGACAAAGTGGGACACCAAATACAGTTGTCACTCACTTCAGTAGCTGGCTTGAGAGATTTGAGGGTCTTGGACCTAGAAGGCATCAACCTTGAGCGTCTGCCTGATGAAGTGGGACACCAAATACATCTAAGGTATCTTGGATTAAGATACAGGGATCAAAGAGCTTCCCAAGTCTATAGAGAACCTAAGGAGCGTGCAAACACTGGACTTTGGAAGGCTTCAAGGGAATTTTGCCGATGGGTATCTCAAAATTGCAAAGTCTGACATATCTGAATGTATCTCTTTTTGTGGAACTTGGCCATAATGTATCAATGGCTTTGCGGGTTCCAAATGGAGTGGGGAGCTTAACGAACATCCAGACTATAAAATACGTACAATGTGATTTGCAATTTCTGAAAGAACTGGGGAAGCTTACACAGCTCAGAAAGTGACAAATTCAGTTGGAGAGAAGTGAAGATGGGGGGGAACTCTGTGCTTCAATCCACCAGATGCACTCACTGCGCTTCTTAACAGGAGGGAGTCATGGGGAAACTCCATTACTTGTGGCCTCAATATCACCTTCCCCCACTCTTGAAAGATTAGAACTTTATGGGCTTGTACCTACAGGGAGGTTACCAGATCACATTGCATCTCTTCCAAACCTCACCGTGTTGAAATTGGGCAACTGCAAACTTAAAGAATATCCATTTTTGGTCCTCCAAATGTTGCTCAATCTGAGGTTTCTCTATCTCGGTCAGGAATCATTTTCAGGTAAGGAAATAGGCAAATGTAGAGCGCATGTACTTCCTAAGCTTCAATGGCTCAGACTCTGGTATTTGAATGAATTGGAAGCATAGGGAGAATTGGAGAAGGGGGCCATGCCATGCCTCCATAGCTTACAAATTGGCAACTGCAATAAATTGAAGGGGTTCCCTCAAGGCTTCACGCACCTCACTTCCCTTCAGATATTGGAACTTAAAGGAATGTCAGATGACCTTGAGAGGAATATACAGAGAGTAGATGGTGAAGATCCCTGCAAATTGCAACAAATCTCTGAGGTTTGGATTGATGCACAACGATTGGTGAAGTGATTGTCTTGTTGGGTTCATGAAACAATTTGGGCTTCTGGAATTGGTTACAATCACACTCTCTCCTCTGGGTGCCACATGTCCAAGTTGCTATTTGATACTCTTGTATCCCATGAATAACTATAGTTCTTTTAAAATGGGGTTGGCTTGTTTATTTCCTAGCTACCCAGTACTTTTTAAGGCTAAGAAACACGCTAGGCCATGCCTAGGAGCAAAGTGCTCTCGAGGTCAATCATGGAATTCGGTAGAGAATTTCCAGATTTATCTGCGAACCCAAAATTTAAACCTTGCTGTAGTTCATAACATTGTTTCAAAAATCAACTCAAGAATCACCCAAGTTGGACTGGATCACGAGGTCGGCGATTCCAGGCCGAAAAGCCCAGGAAACGCCCAAGTCTTCCACTTTTACAGTATATTAACTATTTGTTTGTTCAATATAATCCAGGCTGATTTGGAATCCCCGAGTCCAACCAAGGAGGCTTGGGAGTTGGAGCCCGATTAACACACTGGTTAATTAAGTCGTAAACATGAAGATAAAAAACAGAACAGACATTGGAATCCATTTGCCATTTCAAGTTCAATAGACATTGGAATCTATTTGCCATTTCCGGTTCAAAGTGTTCCTCTAAACCTCTGCCTGCTCATTACACCATTATCCATTGCCTCTTATTTTCAGTACTTGTATCCCTTCACATAGAGGCTCTCCGAGGCGGCCCCACCAGCCCCACTCCCCACATATTTACCAAAGGTAGCCTCGGAATTTGCTTTGCACCTAGCCAAAAATGTCCCTTGAGCTGCCTCCACATTCTCATTCTTTCCAGCCCATGCCTTGAGAGTGCTCTGCTGAAGAGCCCTGCCAAATGAGAATGACAGGTTCCAAGGCTTCAGAACCTCCAACCTGCTTTGCATGAGAGTCATGGGTATTTTGATCATTATTAAAAAAGACAAAGCTAGCTATTTAGAACAATTACACTTATTTTGAGATTAGAAAGGAAGAAAATTGCAGCTTTTATTTGATGAAAAGCAAATTGCAGTTGTTTTAAGCTTTTCTTTTGAAATCAGATTTTGTTTGATAATCCTAGCAAATAAAATATACTATAATGCAATGGACTTTGGGAAAACCAAAGCCCGTTTGGCCATCACCATCCATTGGAATGTTGAGCAGTCTCGGAGAGAGACTTGTTCAACCCAGTGGGGCTATGCCCTGCGTTGATCCATCCCATTCTTTCTTCATCACAAGTTGATTGTTTCAATGAAAGTTGATAACCCAAAGAACGTTGGGATGTCAAGGTAACAATTTTTCCACCATTATCCCCTACCTACTAATCAAAGAAGTAAACCCCATTATAGCCACACAATACTAAGAAGCCAAAGGAAAAATATTTAAGAGGAACAAGAGTGAGATAGAAGATTACACACTTGTTCATGGCATTGAGGTTCAATGTGGCCTCCTCCTCGCTTTGCCCACCTGACAAAAACACGATCCCTGGGACGGCTGCTGGCACAGTCCTCCTCAGCGCAGTCACAGTATGCTCCGCAATAACCTCTGGCCCAACCTTAGGTCCATCAGAGCCTGGGGTCACCATGTTGGGCTTCAAAAGGGTACCCTCCAAAAGGACATGATGATCATTTAGTGCCTTGTACACGGCAGCCAATACCCTCTCAGTCACCTCTGCGCACTTCTTAATGTCATGAGCCCCATCAGTGAGAACCTCAGGCTCGACAATGGGCACCAACCCATTCTCCTGACAGATTATAGCATAGCGAGCAAGGCCATGGGCATTTTGATCAATTGACAGCTGGGAGGGCTCAGTGGACCCGATCTTGAGGACTGCTCGCCACTTGGCGAACCGAACCCCAGCCTTGTAGTATTGTTGGCACCTGGCCCCAAGGCCATCGAGACCTTGGGCAGTGGTCTCAGAGTCAGTGCCTGCAAGTTCGACAACACCTTTGTCGACCTTGATTCCAGGAATGACGCCATTGTCATTTAGGACATCAACAAATGGCTGGCCTGAGGAGGTGGACTGGTAGAGGGTCTCCTCGAAAAGGATGACCCCCGAGAGGTAGGAGAGAGCTCCAGGGGAGGTGAAGAGGAGTTCACGGAGGGCACGGCGGTTGGACTCAACGTTCTCGACGTTGATGCTTGCAAGACGCTTCCCAATGGTTCCAGTGCTCTCGTCAGCGGCAAGGATGCCCTTGCCAGGGGAGACAATGTACTGGGCAATCTTCATAAGCTCCTCTGCAAATATGTGAGAAAAAAAGAGGGTAGAAATCAGGACTACTTATCAAGAAAAGTATCTTACTTATAAAAAAGAATCTATTACATAACTAAGGAATACAAAAATGAGGAAAACAAATAAGCATTCAGGAACCAGAGAAAATTTTAGGGTAAAGCTTACACTTTACCCACAAAGCAAAATTCATTCCATTCCACATTAACACCTCTGTAAATGAAAATAAAGAACCATCTTATCCAACCACATAAAACTGGATGAATGGGTGTGGACTACTGGTTCCAGGTAGTTCCTAGAAACAAGGTGAATCCTGCATCCAGATTTCATTTTCTTCTCGCTGTTTGGGTTGAAAGCAGTGACCCAGCCAGATCAGTGGAACCAATTGCCTCTCCGGTTAAATGGTCTATCCATATTTAGTTTCTAGATCTGGCTCCTTGGACAGCCAACGAATGTCATCCATGTACTTACACAGGGAAATCACCATTGCTTCATTGCCATGGTAATGATAAAAAGGACACCCATATTGCAGTAATTAGGTAAAGGGCAGTTGTTACTTAGAATGGACTCCTATCCAAGTACCTAAATACTATTTCTCCTTTTCGTCGCTTATAACTAAAAACTAGGAAAACTAAAACTCAGTTCGTAGAAAAGCACAAAACAAGAACAGGTAGGGGCATTTAAATGTGTAAAATAAAAGAACTGGTAACCTAGTTAAGGTTAAAGCCAGTTCAATGAACAACGAACTAGAACAAGCGTTATCTGCATACCAAAGGATAAAAGAATTCCAATACTTTCACGAGTGACCGTACCGCATCCTCAAAAAATTTCAAATTTTGGTATTTCAGTGACCCTTCCTCTGTTTTGTGAGACAAAAAATGCTGGTAGTGAAGAAAAAATCAATCTCTTTTCAGCATTTTATCAAGCTAAAGAAAAATATTAAATAATAATAATAACAACAATAATAACAATAACAATAACAATAAGAATGATAATAATAATGATAATAATAATGATAATAATAATGGTAATAATAATAATAATAATAATAATAATAATAATAATAATAATAATAATAATAATAATAATAATAATAATAATAATAATAATAATAACAATAACAATAACAATAACAATAACAATAACAATAACAATAACAAAACAACAACAACAAACCAACAACAACAATAATAACAATAAGACTAGTTCAAAGAAATAATCCCCAAGAGAATGCATGGAACTGCAAGCAAATAATCCCCATAAGACTGCATCGAACTGCTTAAAGGGTTAGACAAGCACCCTAACACAATAATTGAAAAAATTACTTTGGCTTTGTTTCATGGTGAGGCTTATATAAGTTGCCCACCTTATACTATGAAAGTTTGGCACACCTCTTAATTTTGCTAGAAGATGTAGTTCCAGTGTTGGAGACCTTATGACATCTTGAAAATTCATGTTCGATCCCAATTATAAAATTTAAAATCCCTAAAACGGTGCATATAACTTGTTACAAGATGTGCTATTTTAAGACTTGAAATTTTTTTTTTTTCCTTTATTTTATATCCATACAGCTCAAGCTTGAGATAATCAATTGGAAGGCACTTCAGAGCAATCTTTTCTAATAGATTTTCAAAAGTGCTTCTTACTTCTATAGTATAAGGTGCAAACTGATATAAACTTTTTCCTTTTTTATTACATTGAAAACCACCATAAAAAATGCAGCAAAAAAATAGGCTCTTGAAATACTATATATCCTCCAAAAAGAACTAAAAATGCGAAATAAGAAGTGGAGAAAGAAAATTTAAGAGCATTTACTTATTTACAAATCGACTTCTCTCTGTACTCCATTATCTTCAGACTAAAATAGCAATTTCACAGGCTAAAAAATATTTGCAAATATAAGAACCACATGAAAATCTCATGTTTTCCTGTATCAAGCTTGTTTCTTCTCAAATTATTGCAGAAATGTGCCAATTTGAAGCTTCCAAAAATACCTAAAACTATAACAAAATCCAAAACATAAGAAAAGCATGAAAGCGAAGAAAAAAAAAAATTGTCCATCATAAACTGACACTACCCACAATTTTTGAGTAACCAAAATGTCCTCTAAAAACTATCATCAAACAGAATTTATCATCGAATTAGCCCAAAACTTCCAATAAAAACCTCTATGAACAGCTTCAAAACCAAATGAAGGAAAAATCTTCCATTAAAGGGCGACGGATAGCTTATTCATCAAATTACAGAAAAATGCAGCTTCTGAACACTGATACTTCAACTAAAATTCATTGATAATTTCAATTCCAGATGCTAAAAAAAAAAAAAACACAATTTGCAAAGAATAATAATAAAAAAAACCATACCAGCATACTTTCCAACGAAGGCCGACATCTTCAATTCTCTGTGTTTTGTTTCTCTCTCTAAATTTAGTTTTCCCTCTAGAGAGAGAGGGAAGCGGGAAGATAACGCGCAGCGAAACTTTACGAACACTTAAATATATAGCCGCGGCCAGTGCATTGGCATAATTTCGGACACGTGTCACCAGGCTGACCCAATATGGGTTATCGTCGTCAGATAGGCATAGGCCTCTGAGTGGTCCCCATCAGTGCCACGTGGCAATATAGCATAATTTCCTACCATTAAAAATGTTAGGCGCCAATACAAAATTATGTGATTTTAGCTGGAATTGCATTGTGTTTCTCACAGGGGGAGAGCAATGTAGATAAGGTACATTGTGGTTTAGATGTGCCTACAACATCTGGGACGTCGATCTTGTTGGGGAATGATGCAAAACGTCGCATGTGAAAGATGTGGGCCTCACCCAGTAATCGCATGTGAAAGATGTGGGCCTCACCCAGTAGCTCTCCTAATCATTTTGTCGATTCCTAATCATTCTGTCGATAAGATCAAGGGCAGAGAATTTACCCTATTTGGGTTCGAAACTACGAATTTGGGGTTTGATATGCATCTAGGATTTGGATATGGATCTAAAATTTAGATCTAAATAGCAATTTGGAATGGATATGTATACAAGTGGATTTCGTCCAGATCCGAACTGATTTTTAAAATAGAAAAAGTTTATATAAAGTTGCAACCTTGAAATATATAATTAATGATGCACCTCCAAAATCCACCTAAAAATGTTGTTTTAATGTTGAAAAACCCTTTAATTGATCATCTAGACATCGAGATGCATAAATATGAACAAAAAAGAAGATTTTGAGTCTTAGAAATATTGTATCTTGCAAAACATTATCTAGGCCATTCATTTTCAAAATTTTCATATATTCATAGATCTACTTGATTTTAAGCATTTTTCAAGTTAAATTAGATATAAAAATAGATTTTCAGACAATCCTAATAATTTTTTACATCGAAATTATATGTTATGATAAAATTTGGAGGTGCACCTTAATTAGATTGTTTAAGGTCGCAACCTTATATAAACCACACCCCTTTAAAATAGTATATATAATAGGAACAATTGGTTCATGCTGGCTGGATCGCATTTCTACAATTCGCGGTTGAGAGGTATAAAGCATCCATCTTAAAGATGGATGCAAATAGGTGGTCTATCTAAAAACATTTGTAACTAACTGTCTAAAGTCTAAATGTTTTCTTAATATAATTAGTATTTCTAGTTATCATTTTTTTTTTTCATATTCATGATTTCCATGTTGAAGATTATATATTCTCTAAAAATTAGGATCAAATTATATTTATATTTATTGCCAATCTTGCATTTCTACAATATATATATATATATATATATATATATATATAGTTGTATATCTATTGATTTATATATATGTGTTAATTATATATTTATTAACTTATGTATGTATAATGGGTATGGTTTGTATCGAGTTAAGGCTCTAAACAATTGAAAACAAACGCACATTTCAAATAGTATCGAGAAATGTGGTTTCAATGCTAGAAATCTTTGTGATAGCCATAACATATATTTTCATCTCTAATTATAAATTTTAAAGCTTAAAAAATTGTGTAGATCGAGCAGATCTATGAAAACTTGAAAATTTTGAAAATTGACGCTTCTAAAATACATTAGAAGATGCACTATTTCCAAAACTTGAAATTCATTTATTTCTCATGTCCATGCATCTTGAGGTCTAGATGATCCATTTGAGGGTATTTGGGCATCAAAACCTCTTCTAGTTAAATTTTTGAGTTGTACCCTAATTTGATTGTTTAGAGCCTCACATTTATATAAACTTTTTCCATATATATTATGAGTAATGATCCCTTCCTCCACCCATGTGTGTAGGCCCCCAAAGGATCACCTTTAAAGTTGGTACGGATCTCTAGAAAATAGGTGAGACTTGACTTTTCTATAGATCCATGTCAAATTTAATAGTGTTCCTTTGAGGTCTTATGTACATGGGTGGGGGAGGGTCATATAGGATCTTTTCTCATATAATATAAGGAAAAAGTTTATATAAGGATGCAACCCTGTAGAACTACGGATGCACCTCAAAAATCCACCAAAAAAAGATAGTTTTGATGTTGAAAAACCCTTTGATTGATCATCTCTACCTCGAGATGTATGACCATGAAAAATAGAAAGATTTTAAGTCTCAGAAATAGAGCATTTTAGAACATATTATCTACACCGTCCATTTTCAAAATTTTCATATGTTTATAAATCTAATTGATTTTAACCATTTTTGAAATTTTAAATTTTATAAGTAGTATAAAAATAGATTTTGGGATAATCCTAAGAACATTTTACACCAAAATTATATACAATGATAAAATTTGAAGGTGCACCTTACCTCTATAGCTATGAATGCATCCATATGCCAACTGCACCCATAATATAAATATAGTTTTTTAAAACTTTAGAAGACTTAATCCGGATTTCATGTATAGTTTTTGGATCTAAATCGGACTGGATCCCATGTATAGTTTGTGGATTTGGATCTGGATCCAAACATTCTGCATCCAATAAGATCCAGCTCCGAATCCAAATCTCAGGTATAATTTTTTGGATTCGGATCCAGATCTAGATCTGGGTGGTTCATGACCCAATCCAAAAAGTTCTCACCTCTAATAAGATTGACCGCCCAAATGCACAACCGGCCCATTGTGAATGCACCAACCACTCCAGTCCTGGTCAATCTGTTCATAAGATTGACAACTGGGAAGCACCACTTGCCCCTTGTGCATGTAAATTTGCCATGAATAGCAAATCTTGTAGTTGGCATACGGATGCATCCGTAGCTGTAGAGGTAAGGTGCACCGTCAAATTTTATCATGGTATATAATTTTGATGTTCTTAGGATTATTTCAAAATCTAGTTTTATATCTAATTATAAAATTTTAAATTTAAAAAATGGTTAAAA